AAGCCATTCTCAGCGTGTCCTTTTACATCAATGTTATCAACAGAGAGGCAATCAGAGCGTTGTAATATAGCTAACATCCAACAGGAAGCCGCTCGCTTGAACCACTGACTTATAATGATGCTGCTAAGACAGGATGATGTCTTCTCATCATCCTCAGTGTGTATGAATTAGGTGGATTAATAAGGCATTAAGCTGGTTAAATTAATTTAGCCAAAACACCCTCATCACTCCGTCAGGGTATAGCTACTTTCCAATTACAATGTTCATAACAATTAATGACTGTAGCTTTGAGACCAGGACACTTTGAGACAAAGGTGGTTAGTTGGATTTTATCCCATATCATTTTTACTTTGAATGAAAATCCTTCCTCTTTAAAAAAGGTTTTCATCCATAAACAGTAGCTCCAAACAGAAAAAGCCTATTATAGAAAACTGCTCTTCATTATCAGCCTGACGGACAGGAGTGTCGATCCCACACAGAGGAGGAATGGATGAAACGCAGGCCTGGGATGGAATCGGCCAGCTTCCTCTGAAGCAGCTCCGCTGTCAGGAAGCTGCTGTGGTCAGCAGCTGTGTGGATAAAGGCTGCAGAGGTCTTCCTGCTGTGTCTTGCTTCCATGGTGGCAAACCCTAGTTAAGTGTATTACTGACATGTAAAGGCCTGAGGGAGAAAGTCAGCATCTTCTGTCATTTGAAAATTGTGTTTTTTAATTCACAATTATAACAGCTTGACAGTGACGCAGTGAGTAGCACTGCTGCCTTGCAGCATAAAGGTTCTAGGTTCAATTCCTGACCTGGGGTCTTTCTGAATGGAGGTTGCATATTCTCCCTGAGCATGCGTGGGTTCTCTCTGGGTACTCCTGCTTCCTCCCACAGTCCAAAATCATGACTATTAGGTTAATTGCCTTCTCTAGATTCTCCTCAGGTGTGGGTGTGAATGGTTGTTTGTGTCTGTGTTGCCCTGCGATGGACTGGTGACCTGTCAAGGGTGGACCCCGCCTCTCGCCCATAGACAGCTGGAGATAGACACCAGCAGCCCTCACCACCCCGCTTTGGATAAGCATGATGAAAAGTGGATGGATAATTCATGATCATATTGCAAGTGCTATTGTTTGTCCACCTGGCCTGTAGCAAACCATTTCTGCTCTTATGAACAAATCCCAGGTTAGAGGGCAGCTAACTCTATCAGAAGTGAACAATAACCACAAATGTAATTCTAAAATAGAATGTAGGACTTACCCCTCTTTCACAACATAACTCAGCTATTGCCCCCCAAAGCCCCCTTTCTGGATCCTGAATAAACAAATTCCTGACCTTCACCTACCTGTCACCCTCTTATCCGACATTCTGCCTCTGAAACAGCTGGACAATTGGATTTAAAAATATCAAGGAGCTGTCAGGAGCTTCACCTGCTATACTAATATACTTCTGCATAATGGTTCCAGGGATCTGTTTAACTAAGCAGGTTAAACTCTCATTTCTAAATTAATCTAGCCTAAAGTCAGGAATTCTGAGTTTTCCTGAGGCTTTACAACAACTGCTATGAATTAGTTCAATCAACTCCAAGTAGAACCCCTCAGAGTTCAGCGTGCATAACAAGTATGAAAAGCCATTATCAGTGAAGCCCCGATTCGACGAGTCACCATGACAACAGGCAACAGGAAGTGCCTTTTTCACCCCACTGGAACTAGAGATTTAAACTAAGAAATGCAAAAAAATGGAAAATGTGTTTAAAAGACAAAGAAACAGCGCTACAGCTACAAAGGAGACGACAGTGGGGAAGGAGAAGATTGTTGCTCCAGTTAATTCAGAAGTTTATACAAAGTGGCCTATGGCAGGTCGATTTTACATTTACACTCTCCGCTCTGTTGTTCCATTTGTAGATCACTTAAATATGATTCCTGATAAAAATGACAATTCTAGACTTAACTGTAATAATATATTTAGTATTTTATACTTAATTACATTTTTGCAGCAGAAACTGAATTCCAGGGGAAAAAAAAGGTTTTTATATATTTAGAAATGGTTACACAGTTTAAGTGGCCAATCTGGGATTTATCAGCTTGACTGAATATTTATTTAAGATGTCTGAAAAACATCTCTGAACATGTCTGAAAATACAAATTAAATCTAGTAACAATAGGAGTATGTAGTATGTAGATCTAAAATTAATTGTAGACATCCATAATATTTGAGGCAGACACCCTGTCTACTTTTAAGGCTAGGCTTAAAACTTTCCTTTTTGATAAAGCTTCTAGTTAGAGTGGCTCAGGTTATCCTGAGCTATCTCTATAGTTATGCTGCTATAGGCTTAGACTGCTGGAGGACATAGGGACCCCTTTTTCATCATTCTGCTTCATTCTATCTCTATTCTCCCACTCTGCAGAGTCTGTTAGTTCAATCTCTAACGTTCTGCTCTCTCTGCTTTTTCTCATAGTAGCTTCATCTGGTCTGTTCCTGTTTGGCTGTGATGCCATCCTAGAGAGAAATGTCAGCTATGCTGCTGCCATCAACACCATTATTTATAGATGTCAGAGATTGGTCTGTTTTTCAGTGTAGTCCTGTTTCTCTGACTGTGACTAACTGGATGTGCTCTCTTCATCCTCTGAAATGGGAGCTGGCTCTGAGCTTGTCTGCCTGGCTGTGTGTTTCATGGATGGGGCGCCTTTTACAGTTGCTTTTAGTATCATTGCTCCTTTCTGTATGTCTCCTCTTCTGTCTCCTTGAACCCCAGTCGGTGTCGGCAGATGGCTGCTCACACTGAGCCTGGTTCTGGTGGAGGTTTCTTCCTGTTAAAAGTTAGTTTTTCCCTCTCCACTGTCGCTACAAGCATGCTTAGTGTGAGGGATGCATTTTAGATAGAAAACTTTGAATCAATTTGACTGGATGATCTGGTTGAATTCTAAAGTGTCTTGAGATGACATGTGTTGTGAATTGGCGCTATAGAAATAAACTGAATTGAATTGAATAGTGGATCAATGTATCTATTTAGGTGAAACCAGCTGGCAGCAGGTGAAGATGAAATCTAAAAATTTTCATATATATGGAACCTCATCGGCTCATGGGGTTCAGTTTGGTTCAGTCTTCTTTTACACGGTAAATACCAAGTGGCTGTTTGCATCCTCTTCAGATGTTATCATCCGAATAAATAACCGTTATTAGCGACTATCAGTCCCATAGGATGGCTTCAGATTGTGCCAGTAGGCTCAGTAGGTTGTTATCGCTGAATGAATTCTAACCCTGACCCTAAAGTAATTTCTTTTCGGTTTTTTAGAATTAGTGAATCTATGTATGTGCAATCTGAAAATAATTTCAATAATTCTTGTTAAAAAAACAAACAAAAAAAAATGTCTAAGGACCCATTTTAACATGTGCTAAATTGAAAGGAGAATGTGACAACAAATTTAAAGTTAAGTGTGATAATGGAGTAAAACGCGTGTGTTGATTAAAACCTGCAGGGAGAGATGATCGGTTATTTTTCTGTGGTTCAAACGTCAAAACCCAACAACAGCGTTAAAGACGTTAGTCCTCCTTCTGTATTGACATCAAACCTGGAAGTATGCCAACATTAGCCTGCTTTGCTATCACAATGCTCAAACTAGCATGCCTTGCTATTATCATGCAAACATTAGAGATTAGCATGCCTATCACCATGCTAGCATTAGTCTGCCTTGTTACCACAATGCCAATATTAGCCTGCCTTGCTGTCACCATGGCAACATTAACTTGCTTTGTTATCACCATGGTAACACCTAGCCCTCCTTGCTATCGCCATGGTAACATTAGCATGACTTACTATCACCATGATAACATTAGCCTGTTTTGCTACTACCATGCTATCCCATGCTAATATTAGCCCTCTATGCTATCATCATGTTAACATTAGTCTGCCTTGCTATCACCATGCTAACATTAGTCTGCCTTGCTATCACCATGCTAACATTAGCCCGCCTTGCTATCACCATGCTAATATTAGCCTGCCTTATTCTCTCTTCCATCTTTCTTCCACCAATTAGGGACTGGCCTTCAGACAGCTTTTAAGTGTTGCTGGTATTGTGTAACTTTCTATCTAATTTATGAGACAACATAAAACGATGGTAAACAAATCATGGCTAACTGCTAATGTTGCTAACACCACATGCAGATGAGAAAAAAAGGTGGTATAAAATGGGATCCAAATGAGCTCTAGTGAATTTTTTTTCTTCCTAAGAAAAGTAAACATGAATTTTAAGTTATTTTTAAAAGGACTGTACAGTAAAATACCAGGAATTTACATTTTAAGTTTTAGAATGTGATCATTGTGTTTTAGATGCATCTATTTTTAAAGAGCTATTTTCTACTGCAATTAGTGCAAGCTTTTTTGGATATGTCCACTGAAAAGTTCCCCTATTCTTTATATTACAAAGAACTCAAACTCAGACTGATTTTCTGATTAGACAAAAAACTGCTTTGATCTAAATAGATTTTTAGGGTAGTTCTGAAAGTTTATTTTAGTGTTATTGTTCTTTCATGGCCGATCTGTATCTAGATCCATCCATCAACCCATGAGCTTCGAAGAGAGGGAGGTGTGCTTCTGCTAACATGCAGCGCTCATTCATTCACTCTTGGCGCTAAACCAAAATGCGTGCCATCTTTTTTAAATCATGCATATTTTTTTTCTGTTGGTACGATTATGTTGTACATTATGTGGGTCTTTCACATACGGTTCAATTAAAATGCACAACAGGTTGTGATTGTTATTAAGGTGTCAATCCTAAAGGGAAGACGGATGGAGCTAAAATCCAGCCAGTTTAATGGTTTCGATCCAAACAGTTTATGAGTCCAGAACTCATCTCATCTGAGAAACTGTGCCAAAGTTTGGGACATACTTTATAAAAATATGCAATAACTCATATCCCTAAATTAGTACTATAAGGAGGTTTAAATGTTGGCTATTCCAAATTTATGATGATAGAAAATAAGTATTAAATTCATATAGTGAAATATGTTTTAAAAGAGTACCTTCATTTTCTTGGCTTCGGCGCGGCTTTTGTAGCAGAATTCAACCAGCGCCACCATCATGGCCAGACCCAGACCTCCAACCAGGATGTAGAAAACTCCCGCCACGTTGCTGAGAGACAGAGCGCTGGTCTTTTCCTAGCACCAAACACGCGTCCACCCACAAACATACACAGAAAAAACAAAAAGAAAAACAGGACAGCCAGAAAAACATGTTAGTTTGGTGCAAATATAAACTAAAGTAACTTTATTAACATTTAATCCAAGCATTGTGTGTAGTTTCTGTTTAGAATCATGGAAAAAAATAATATCTACACATAGATAGATCCTAAACACATATGGAAACCTTATATACCAAAGCAGTGAGCTAACATAGATGTGTTCTTTTAAAATTAAACGGTTAAGAATGTGTAAATCAGTGTAAAAAGTTCTACCTGCTGTGGATTTGGACACCCCCACCATCATATATACAGGCCTTATGATAATGAGACGGCTTGTTTCTATTAGCTAGTTTCACACCAGTTGATTAACTAGTTTCACAGCAGTTCATTGATTAGTTTCACGTCAGTTGATTAACTAGTTTCACACCAGTTCATTGACTAGTTTCACACCAGTTGAATAACTAGTTTCACACCAGGTCATTATCTAGTTTTACTCTAGTTCATTATTTAGTTTCAAACTATTTGATTGACTAGTTTCACACCAGTTTATTAACTAGTTTCACACGGGTTAATTAACTAGTTAAATACCAGTTCATTATCTAGTCTCACACCAATTCATTGGCTAGTTTCACATCAGTTGATCAACTAGTTTCACACCACTTGATTAACTAGTTTCACACCAAGTCATTAACTAGTTTTACTCTAGTTCATTATCTAGTTTCACACCAGTTCACTGACTAGTTTTACAGCAGTCCATTATCTAGTTTCACACAGGTTTCTTTACTAGTTTTAAACCAGTCCATTATCTAGTTTCACACGTGGTCATTAACTAGTTTCACACCAGTTCATTGTCTAGTTTCAAACCAGTTCATTAACTAGTTTCACACCACTTCATTACCTAGTTTCACACCAGTTCATTATCTAGTTTTGCACCAGTTCATTAACTAGTTTCACACCACTTCATTACCTAGTTTCACACCAGTTCATTAACTAGTTTCATACAAGTCCATTATGTAGTTTCACACGGGTTCATTAACGAGTTTCACACCACTTCATTATCTAGTTTCACACCAGTTCATTAACTACTTTCATACCAGTCCATTATCTAGTTTTACGCCAGTTCATTAACTAGTTTCACACCAGTGCATGATCTAGTCTCACACCAGTTCATTGACTAGTTTTACATCAGTTGATTAACTAGTTTCACACCAGTTCATTAACTAGTTTCACACCACTTGATTAACTATTCACACTAGGTCATTAACTAGTTTCACACCACTTGATTAACTTTTCACACCAGGTCATTAACTAGTTTTACTCTAGTTCATTATCTAGTTTCACACCAGTTCACTGACTAGTTTCACACCAGTCCATTATCTAATTTCACACAGGTTAATTTACTAGTTTCAAAACAGTCCATTATCTAGTTTCAAAACAGTTCATTATCTAGGTTCACACCACTTCATTATCTAGTTTCACACCAGTTCATTAACTAGTTTCATACCAGTCCATTATCTAGTTTTACGCCAGTTTATTAACTAGTTTCACACCAGTGCATGATCTAGTTTTACACCAGTTCATTAACTAGTTTCATAACGGTCCATTATCTAGTTTTCCACCAGTCCATTATCTAGTTTTACACCAGTTCATTATCTAGTTTTACACCAGTTCGTTAACTAGTTTCATACAAGTCCATTATCTAGTTCCACACTAGTTAATGAACAATGGATCTGTTCTCATACCGACAGATGTCACAGATGCTATGATGGAACCACATTTTTTTTTTTTTTTTTAGAGATTTGATATTTTCAATAGTTTTTTCTTTTTACCCTTTCAGACTGAGTTTATGAATGTCTTTTTACAAATCATATTCTCTTATTCTCTTCTTCCAAGCCAATATAAACACTTAAAACCAGGTTGCTAACATCCAGCAAATCAATAGAAATGCACCTTTACTCATTACTCCATATAAAACCCCACCAGCAAAAATAAAGAGAATGTGACCTGGAAAAAAATAAATAAATAAAAAAAGTTACTCTCAAAACCATTTAATGGTTGCTTTTCATGTAAAAAAGGTGTTTTTTGATTGCAACAATAATGGAACAACTCAATTTATTATATATTTTGGGTCACTCTTCTAAAATGTGGTTAAAATGTTTAGCCTATTTAGGGTTTTAGATGGCATTTCTGCCCTGGAATAAACAACTGAAATGAATGTTAAACAGCTCCAAAATGATAAGGTTAACATTCAATGTTTTGGTACCAAGATAAAGGTAAAAGATGATAAAGGTAGAATCACTATCACAGCTGTTACTATATCTGATTTACTTGTAATTAAACAAAACAAAATTTTATAAGCTACTTTCTAAATAAGCAATGAGAAAAACCAAAAAGTGCCTTTAAGAAACTTAGCAGATGCCTTAGATTGTATTATTGTAATATTTATTATGGCTGCAACTAACGATTATTTAGCAATTCGATGAATCTGTCAATTATTTTTTTAATTTATCGATTAATAATCAAATAGCAAAAGGTTCCTTAAAGAAGATTTTTTTAATGAAAATAAACCAGGTGAAATTAAAACTTTTCCACTTGAGTTCTGGATAGAGCAGATCTATTACTAAATTAGTTATTATTTCAATAACTGATTAATTATGATTAATCCAGTTGTTCCAGCGCTATTCTTTACCACTACTGCTGCAGTTTAGGACTGAATCAGGTAAGTCAATTTTGATTCACAATGGTTTTAGTCGATCAGTGTGCACAATTTTATTTATTTTTTTTGCCACAATCTCATCAAATTAAAATTAATAATAACAATAATAATAATAATAATAATGAAACTTTATTGATCTCACATTGGAGAAATGTATCTCTGCATTTAACCCATCCCATTGGGGAGCAGTGGGCTGCCATTGTGCGGTGCCCAGGGAGCATTGTGGCTCAGAGACCCAGATGGGCAGTCTGTGGGAGTGGGTTTCGAACTGACAACCTCAGGAAAGCCAAGCTCCATGCCCTAATCACTAGGCCGCCACTCCCCTCAGTTTAGTTTATTCAGCTCATCTGGTTTCCAATGTGGGAATCCTGTATTTGACAGAACCTTCTTCTCTGATATCACTGTGACCAGCGCAGCTCCTGAAGCTAACTGCTGCAAAAAGCACAGCTGTTAACCAAAGAGACAACAATGTTTAAATTTAACCTTTGTTATTCACAGGAATCGCAGCACATGACGTCACCTGACAAACTGCTTCTACATACGGGGAAAAATTAGTGTTTTTTTCCGTCTCTGCCCAAGCAGGCTGGACAGCACTACTCTAAGCTGATTTTCGGAATATCTCAAGCAATTTAATTTTAATTCACTAACATGAGTAGTTGATGAGAAGGTCGACACTCTCAGCTTCATTATCAAACACAACAATGAATGTCCTTATAAACCATATTATAATAGTGAGATTCAAATGTCAGCCACAGAAATGCATTAACGGATTCTTTTTTGCTTTAAAAGGTTTAAAACTTATTACTAATTAATAATTATTAACCAAAACAACTATTTATATTCATTTACATTTGTTTGAAATGTCCACAATTGTTTTTTGTTTGTTTACTGAAGATCAGTTTACTAAAAGTAACTTTTTTTTAGATTAATGCTTGAAATAATCAACAGAATCATTGATTACTAAAATAATCAGACGCTGCAGCCCTATTGTCAAGCATGGTGGTGGCAACATCATGATAAGGGCCTGTTTTAATGCACAGGTGCATGTAATAAAAAAGTAATACCACAAAACAGACGATGGGCCAAAATATTCAAACTGTCATCTGTGGTTTTGACCTGGTTAACATCAGTTAACCTGCAAGTGAACAACAGATTAACTGAGGCTTTTGTTCTTTTCCATCTAAAGCATATTAATCTCAGTGCTGCCCACCATTAGTTAGAACTGAAGAGACCTTTTGGATGAGAGGAGAAACGTCTTCTAGAAAACTTCACGTCCAGTTGCCTAGATGGAACTATGAAAGCCTGATTAGCTGATGTTTAACTGCTTTGTTTTCATAATGGAGGAATCTTTTTAGCCTTAGGCATCTGGGCTGTTCTTAACTCTGCAGAAGTCAGATCTAAGCCGGAGAGCAAGATTTAAATAAACGTTATTATTCCTCAGAAGAAGAATGGTCGGGTCTTCAACCAGAGTAATACCAGAACCTGGTGAAGTCAACATAGAGTGAAACCTACATTCAGACACTGTCAAAACTAATTCTAATATTAACCAAAGTTAATTAAGGAAATAGAAAAAGGCTTTTGCAAAGCTTTAAATGATGATTTAATCCATCAAAGCCAAAGTTGTCCAAACCAACCTGGACCTACAGGTATGTGAAAACAAATCAGGAATGAACCAGAAAAGCTGAATTCAGTTTCAGCAGCTAGTAAGGTCAGAGTTCATGATTCAGCAAAAATAAAAAAAATGGATCACGGGCCAAAACCAGTGCTGACTGGAATTTATTAAAAACAGCAACTAGTTTGTGTAGTTTGGTTTATTCTATATAGCTGTCACCCGAGGCATAGAGGGACTGTCAGGCTCCATTAAGTAGAGGCCATTTGGCATTCGCCACCAGATGGCGTCACATCTGTTCAGGTCTGCTCATCACACCTGGCACTGGAATTTTATTTAGGCTCAAAAAAGGACTATTACCCCCTTTCCCACTGGACAAATATCCATTTAAACCCGGGAACAATTGGCATTTGTTGGCAGTGGGAACAGCTCACCAACACGTGTCTACCCAGTTCAAACGACTCTGACCCACGTTAAAATCCTCTTGGCTCGGATCGGCATGCTGTGGGAACACCACACCAGGTGTGACCCACTAAATTACGTGATACCATTGAATGCACCATACGGACGCAAACACCTTTGCTTCTGATCTAAGAAGCAGAAAAAACTTTGTTACTATTAGTTAAACATGGAGCAGCTCTGGTGAGGGGGATTCAGAAAGAAAACAATAAAGCACACTGACTACGCCCTGGCTTCCTTCCATGTTGCTCTCCATTGTTTACTTTCCTGATTTCTGTCACACTGGTGACATCATCAGCGCTAACCCAGCATGATGGCGTCATCAGCCACACAGCTGCCAGTGAGGGGATAGACTAGCTTTTTATGCCAGTGGGAAGGAGCCCACGGTTCGACCCATGTTTGAAAAACACGCCATAACCCACTATTTTCAGTGGGACAGAGGCTTTAGAGGATGAATGATTGGCGTTTATAATCTAATTAGGATCAAATGGCTTTTAGCATTGTTTGCATTTGCCTTAAAACAGGACGTTTAAAACAACTCTTTAAAAAAGACCAGAACCGAACTCCTCTACAGACAAGTCCTGTCAGACAAATACCTGATGTTTTGTTTCCTGTTGATAGAAGGAAAAAGCTATTAGGAAGAAGGTGCAATTATTTCTTCCCTTTAGGCCAGGTTGGTTTGGATTGTTTTTTTTTATGAATAAATCCTTTGAAAATATTTTGTATTTTTACAGGTTTCTTGGTATGACATTAGAATTTGTTTGATGATGTCAAACGTTCAACCATTTGTCGCAAAAAAAAAACAAACAAAAAATAAATATAAAAGGCAATCAATACTTCTACTGCACTGAAAATAAAACATTTAACTGTTTTTTAAGGCTGTGTGAAGTGTTTCCCAAGTGTTACTTAAATAACTCCTATATAGAAGATAATGCTTCTGAACAAAAAATAATTATTTTTTTTTTTCTTGTTGAAGCATTTTCCCCTCTCCGTTGATTTTACTTTAAAATTGCTCTAAGGTAATAATGTTAGAAAATTAAATGGAAAAACAGAAAGAAAGATGTTTTAGCAATAATTTACCAGCTATATTTAATCTTATATTCTAATTTTATTACTGCTTTTCTAAAGTCATAAGAGGATGTTTTTGTTTGGTTTTGAAAAACGAAATAAGAAATAAGTAAAAATTGCAAAAAAGTGTATTTACCCTTAAGTTAAGTAGGTAAATGTGATAAGTGTAAATTTTCTTGTTCCATTGGCAAAGTGTTTCTTTTACCTCCTCAATCCAAGAACAAATGCACTTATTTTAAGAAAAAATGACTCATCTAGATTTCGATTTTTTCCAGTGTGGTTTTGATGGAAACCGTAAATAAATGTCTCTATCTCTAAAGCAACTTTTTCTTATTGTTTCTGGAGTAAAGCAACAAAGAAAGAGAATAAATCAGCTGGGATCGACCTGAAACAAGCAGAAAGGAAGCTGCTGTGTCCAGCTGCAGTGGTTTCATCTACAGACCCCCCCCCGTGTGATCACACAGCTGCACTAAGCTGCACAGAGCAAGCCTGCCATGCATTGTTAGACCTGTGAACAGTGTGTTTGACTGAGCCACAAACAGAAAACTAACCTTATTGGTGGAGTCCTTGAAGCCACACTCTCCTTTATCGTACCACCACTTGTTTTTCATCTTGTCTAGGGTCCCTTGCTCATTCAGTTTCAATACGGCAAGGTTTACTGGCACTCTTCAATGGGAATAACATAAATAACATCATTATCAATGTTATCTTATGTTATTAACGAGGCAGCAGTTCTTACCCTGTTCTCGCAGCTAATAGAGAGAGCCCACCGTGGAAGTATCTGACACTAATATCATCTTTAAGGTACAGCTGAGAGGTTTTAGGCCACATAGCTGCTAAAGCTATGGAAACCTTGATTTAGTGCATTTGTTAACTCTGGGCTCCTGTGTTTAGCCTCTGAGACAGACAGTGAGAAGTGCTGCAATGAAAGGCTGTTGCTTTTTCACCTGCAGTTCCCTGCCAGGCCAGAGCCGCTGATGCGCAGAGTTCAGACGGCTCGTCAGAACCCTCTGCATGCAGCGCCCATGTTGCTACCATCTGGTCTGAGGTCAGCTGACCCTCACCTGGATTAGAAATCAGACCTCAACCAGACAGGGTGCAACAAAACAGAAGAAGAAGCAGAGCAGAGAACAGCGCCACCCGCTGGATTGATCACAGCTCTGAGCCGATCTTTTGCTTTTTAATCTCTGCAGGTTGACATTTTTCCCTCCCCGCTAGCCGTAGCGTTTCCCCGTGGCCCTGTGACTGTGCTGCTTCTTCATGTTCCACATTTCACAGACTAACCCCCTGTTTTCCTCCCTGTCCTGCTGTGTGTGAGTGTGTGTGTGGGTGTGTGTGAGAGTGTGTATTAACCTTGCTCTCCCCTCCTCCGCTGCCGCATTCTCCCTTGTCATACCACCACTTGTTTTTCAGTTTGTCCAGCAGCCCCTGCTCGTTCAACTTTAACACCGCCAGGTTCACCGCATTTCTACATGAACACAGTGGCCGTTAGCAGTTCATTTCAGCTGTCAGTAACAATCCTCTGAAAACCTACGTTAATCAGCATCAAACATGCTAACGCTCATTACTGTCTACGGAAAACCTGCACAGAAAACAAACATGGGGAATTTAGCTTTTCTCTCAGGTTAGATTAATAGGACCAATGACGGACTACATGACATCAGATTTTAAAGCCCATTTCAGGATGTCAGAGAAAAACTGAGTGGATTGGTTTTACCCCTGGATACAACATGGAGTCATTGTTCTTAGAAAAAAAATAACACATTTATTTATATTAGCTGCTGGCACATCAGTTTTCAAGCCATGTAGAGGACAAAAAAACTACAGAGATTCTAAAAAAAATGGCTTCCTGCACAGGCGGATCTAGAGGGGCCAACAGGGGCCAGTTTCCCTGTAGAACAGGTCCTGGCCCCTGTACTGAACTATAAGGCAATTGTTCTTTGAACCAAGTGTATTTCTCTTGATTTTGTTTGGTAACACATTATTCCTAATGGATATTATCTTAATTTGGATCATCTTTATTACCTGCTCAAGGGGCTTCTATGCACAGCTTCTCTATTGCCTTAACTAAAGGCAGCTCTTTTGTTTCCTGCCTTTCTCTACTGGATGAACTGATGAATCCGGGTGTGCCTGACCACAGTAATCATGGCCAGATACACCTGGATTCATCAGTTCATCCAGTAACACCAGGAAGACCAAAGAGATGTTTCGGTCCTAGGCTGCACTCTGGACTGAGTGGAGGAAGTGGCGGAAGGAATGGTGCTGTCCAAGCTTCCATCCATCATGGAGCTGAGCTCCTTTAGTCAAACACTTTTACATGGTTTGTAGAAAGGAGCGCTACTGCAGGTCATTCATCCCTGCTGCAACCAGACTCTACAATGCAACACTACAATGGCAATAACATTTGCCATCAACACCTTTGTTTATAGATGTTCGAGATCTGCCTGTTTTTCAGTGTAGTCCTGTTTCTCTGGCTGTGACTAATTGGATGTGCTCTCTTCATCCTCTGACATGGGAGCTGGCTCGAAGCTCGTCTGACTGGCTGTGTGTTTCCTGGACGGGGCCGCCTTTTACAGTTGCCTTTTGTATCTATGTTTCTTTCTCTATTTCTGCTTCTATTTCTATGTCTGCTTCTGTCTCCTTGAACCCCAGTCGGCCTCAGCAGATGGCCGCTCACACTGAGCCTGGTTCTGCTGGAGGTTTCTTCCTGTTCAAAGGGAGTTTTTCCTCTCCACTGTCGCTACAAGCATGCTTAGTGTGAGGGATTGCTTTTGAGTCAATGAGTCGATGCAATAAACTGGTCTTCCTTAGATTGAAAAATTTTAATCAATCTGACTGGATGATCTGGTGAACTGGAAAGTTGTGAACATAGAAATAAACTGAATTGAATTAATTCACTTCATGGGGTCGAGTTTTAACATTCCAACCAGATACAGAACATCCCATCTATATAAATAGATGGATATTTATAGGGATGATTATAGATCCCTGTATAGTTATCCTACTATTAAAAAAAGAAGGAAAAAAAAGTTCTCACCAGTATATACACTATATATACTATATGTATCCCATACACCTTTTTTTTCCCTTTGGCACATTCTTCTTCTTCTTTGACTATTTGAGCTGATGTAACGAGTACATTTCTCCACTGTGAGTTCAATAAAGTCAAACAATCAATAATGAATGACAGGGCTGAAAGGGCTGCCTTAAGTTCAGACAGTAGTGGAGTTGTGCATAGAGCCCATTGATTAAGAAATTCTACTTTTTTAATCAGCTTTTGAAGCGTAACACTAAATTATTTCCAGAGATGGGAAGTAACGAAGTACAAATACTTTGTTACTGTACTCAAGTAGATTTTTCTGATATTTTTACTTTACTTTACTACTTATTTTTATGGCAACTTTTTACTTCTACTCCTTACATTTTTACACAAATATCTGTACTTTCTACTCCTTACATTTTAAAAAAATTGGCTCGTTACTTTAGTTTTGAATAATTTCAATGGAGTTACCGTTATTATTTTTCACGTCATCAATACCAAATTCAGTCTAATTGGATGGGAATCTACGTTGCATTTGACGCACCACTACAAGATGAATCGACAGATTCGGCGGTATTCATTCGCGGCAAATCATTGCTTGGTGGCGGTGGCGTTAGCATAGTAGTATGGACGACGAGATGATTGAAAATGAACACAACGGAGATCTAGTCCTATTGGCAGACATCCATTTAAAATGTAGGCAACGGCATGAAAAACGTGGTTTCTACTTTTACTTTTATACTTTAAGTAAATTTACAAGCCTGTACTTTGTTACTTTTACTTGAGTAAAGAAGTTTAATCAGTACTTCCACTTTTACCAGAGTATTTTTTAACACAAGTATCTGTACTTTTACTCAAGTACGGAAAGCGAGTACTTTTGCCATCTCTGATTATTTCTCATAATGATAAAGGGACTCTACCTGATTCAACCCTTGGACCGATTTATCATTTCACCTCTACAATTGACTTTAACAGCCTACATTGCAGCTGGAACTAAAAAGAGGCAGAGCGTTTGATGGCAGCGAAGCCTCAGACACCGTTCCTCTGGGACGGCTGCTGCTCCAGGTGGGTGAAATAATGAATAAAGCATCTTTGAATCTTTTGAATTGTTGAATTCCAGTCATGTTTCATCTTCAGTCCTGCTAAAGTAGAACCACAGTTTGCATCTGAAAGTTTCCAACTCATCCTTTATGGTTCACTTAAGATACAAAACCAGATTCTCTCACTCTGTTGTTATTTTTGTTTATTGTACTTATTACTTTTGTTCTGTGGCCTCATTTAAAAGCACGGGCTCCACCCTGGCTCTCTGGTAAATTTGGTCCAGCACCACCACTGGCCTCTTTTTGTCCAGGACAGCTGCTCCTTTGCTCTGTTTAAACAATGACTGTGTGACTTTTAACTGACAAACCTCTGAATCTCTCGTTTATTAAAGAATGTCTCCCATTAACCACCGTCTGCTAATCTGGTCAGGTGTTAACGAGGATTAAACCTTATCAGTTTAACCAAATCCTTGCCGCTGCCTCTCAGCTCTTTTTCCGCCTTCAGATCCTTGACACCTACATAATCTGAAAAAAATATGTGCCGTTGTGTTTCAGATTTCAGCAAAGCTCAGTGGTTTTTGTCTTTAATCGGAGATATTTTTAAGCCACAAAGCAAAACAACCAAATGATCCTCCAAGCCTGATTCCAGGGGTTTCCCTTCCATTAGCTCTGAACTACAGCAGCCACACTAACAGACAGCCTAACTAAGACGTATGATCAGACAGATCTCATGGACGTGTTTATTGAAACTCCTCGTCTCCATACAGTTAGTTATAATATCCACACAGAAGGATTTTTCTATGGTTTTCTATGATAATGAAATAGAGATGCAGCTGGGGACCAGATTAGGCTGATTTTGTGGGTTTGCTGATTAAAATAGAAAAAAAAGGTGAAATATTAATTTCCCCCCAGACATGGCATTTTACAAAAGCTTGTCCCACCTGATCTGAAGCCTCAGAAATTGATTTGCTCTCCACAAGCTTCTCCCTGACCTGTCTGCCATGTCCTTTAGACGCCATGATGCTGCTCAATCATTATTGATCTCTGAGGCATTCAGCGAACAGCTGGGATTATATTAAGGATGAATTAAACAGGTGGACTCTAGTTCATAATCGGGTGACTTTCAAAGGTCGATTGGATGCATATAATTTCATTTCATGCTTCCATATCAACAGGGGGATAAATGCAAAGCCAGATTTTCTTTCCTTTCATCCTAGATTTTAAGTGATTTTATTTGTTACTAGCAACTATAGTTATTATTATTGGTCTGAAAATCCCAATAAAAACACTGAGGTCTGTGGTTGGCTGAACCTGATGACATCAGATCTGACCTATGTGACCTTTGACTGAAAATAAAGAAACAGCATCCATCCATCCATGCATCCATCCATGCATCCATCCATCCATCCATCATCCATCCATCCATCCATCCATGCATCATCCATCCATCTATCATCCATCCATGCATCATCCATCCATCCATCATCCATCCATCCATGCATCATCCATCCATCTATCATCCATCCATGCATCATCCATCCATCCATCATCCATCCATCCAACATCCATTTATCATCCATCCATCCATCCATCCATCCATCCATCATCCATCCATCCACCATCCATTTATCATCCATCCATCCATCCATCCATCCATCCACCATCCATCCATCCATCCATCCATCTATCATCCATCCATCCATCCATCCATCCACCATCCATCCATCCATCCATCCATCCATCTATCATCCATCCATCCATCCATGCACCATCCATTTATCATCCATCCATCCAGCATCCATCTATCATCCATTCATCCATCCATCCATTCATCCATCTATCATCCATCCATCCATCATCCATCCATCCACCATCCATTTATCATCCATCCATCCATCTATCATCCATCCATGCATCATCCATCCATCCATCATCCATCCATCCATCCACCATCCATTTATCATCCATCCATCCATCCATCCATCCACCATCCATCTATCATCCATCCATCCATCCATCCATCCATCCATGCACCATCCATTTATCATCCATCCATCCATCCATCCAGCATCCATCTATCATCCATTCATCCATCCATCCATCCATCTATCATCCATCCATCCATCCATCCAGCATCCATCTATCATCCATCCATCCATCCATCCATCCATCCATCCATCCATCCATCCATCCATCTATCATCCATCCATCCATCCATGCACCATCCATCTATCATCCATCCATCCATCCATCTATCATCCATTCATCCATCCATCTATCATCCATCCATCCATCCATGCACAATCAATCCATCATCCATCCATCCATCTATCCATCTATCATCCATCCATCCATCCATCCATCCATCCATCTATCATCCATCCATCC